AGATTCAAAGTTGTTTAAAGCAGAAGACTGACCTCCCACTTCAAGTTAAAGAGCGTGTTCCAAATGTATATGGAGTTTTTAACTGAAATAGCCATCTTGAAGAACGTTAGATGCTGTTCATAGTCCTGTCCTTCTTAAGACCTAAGCCTCTCTGGTTTCTGAGCTATACTCCCGCGAAAATAGGGAAATGTATGTCGGGAAGAGTAATCCAAAGTCACGTTGGCATTCATGATGTCATAATAACGCCGTTCAAATACTACCATTCCATAAACCATGCGACGATCAAAGCCAAGAAAGATATAATTGTAGAGGTAGTCTTATCTACATTCGGATCTCCCATCTTGTTGGTGTGGAGATCAGTATCGGCTGTGGCAGGTCGCACCATGAATGAATTATGTGAAGACCCCAACCTCTTTTGTAAAGAGGCCTCTGACTGTCCTCCTGCCGAGTGGTACACGAAAAGTACAAGCATTGTTCGTTCATAATGCGTCTGGATTGCACGTGGATACGAGTTAAAAACACGACAGATTACATACAGGCAACCTTCCTGACGCTGGCAACCGATGGCACATGCATGTAAACACATATTTTCACTCTTTCACTTCGCAGATTTTTTATGTGTGAAGGTTTCATCGTTATCTGCAGAGGAGTTTTTGCTAAATAATGGCTTCTGACTGCAAGAGAATGATGGACATCTGGCTCTAAATCTAAATAATGCACTAGCACTCTTTTCGAGCGACGTAAAGGCTTGAAGTGGGAAACACTTCAAACTATGACTGCCCATCCCTTTTTCCTTTCTTTGAATCGTGCCGCAAAGGAAGCACTCATACATGTTTTTCGACAGGTCTATATCATATATAGGATCGCAAACTGTTATATAGATTCACAGTCAAATGCATTGACTTTCACTCTGCTAAGGGACAGTGCAATGCACCCTTACTCGCCCTCCCCCCCTTCTGAAGTGTCTGAAGATATTTCTCTGGAACGTGCGGTCGCGCAGAATGTTTCGGTATCCTATGGCTATTCATTGCGTGTGTTTTGACGCCGAAAACGTTTCTCTATCAGTCTGATTTCTGGAAAGCGAAGCTTCTACTGGAATACTGCAAGGTGACCCACGGCCGGCGCGGGCGGCGGGCGGCAACCGAAGGCTCCGTCGATCGCGCACGACGGCTAACGCTGTTACGCCAACAGAGCCATGCATAGTAGACATATATTCAAAAGCTTCCGATTTGAACGTTTACGTGTATATATATATATATATATATATATATATATATATATATATACACGTAAAATATATATGCATCTAGCTTATTGCACTCAAAGTTAAACAAGAAACACATTTGTGGAAGTTGTATGCTGTTAATCTGCATTGTTACAAAGACATGTGTGTGTGCAAAGCTGAAGAACGTCGTTGCTAGGAAAAATTATCATTTGATCTGTCCTAGTGTGGACACACACACACACACACACACACACACACACACACACACACACACACACACACACACACACACACACACACACACACACACACACACACCACACACACACACACACACACACACACACACACACACACACACACACACACCACACACACACACACACACACACACACACACACACACACACACACACACACACACACACACACACACACACACACACACACACACACACACACACACACACACACACACACACACACACACCACACACACACACACACACACACACACACACACACACCACACACACACACACACACACACACACACACACACACACACACCACACACACACACACACATACACACACACACACACACACACACACACACACACACACACACACACACACACACACACACACACACACACACACACACACATATATATATATATATATATATATATATATATATATATATATATACATATATATACAAATATGGACATAGAGACATCATACTGACTTTCATTCGGGAGATCTCGTAGGGATAAATTCGCGGGATTTCTTGCAACTGTTTCTGTCGTAGTTTGGTAAAGACAGGGGTTACATGGACCGCTCCCCATTTTCAAGAAAAGCAGCGAATTGGGGGTGAAGGTTAAACGACGCAATACTCTCCTGGCTCACAAATGCCGTTGCCTACAAATATATTGGTTAGCTTATAAAAACTGGTGGTGCATTTAAATCGTAACCAACGGAATGATCTTGTAGCCTTTGTCAGCGTGGTGCGATGGGTCCACAAGCTTATTACGTTGAGCATCCACGGCGCCGAGTAGAGTGTTGTCAAGAGATGGCTAGCCAATCGCACCATCCAACCACCAATGCCATGGACGACCAAAAACTCCGCACATGCCGAAAGCCCTTGCAAACGGTTGGTAACTGAAATGATATTAGCTCGCAAATAGCGAAACGGTTGAGTCTAGTGGCCCATGTCGGTCTTCTGGTACTAAAGCTGTCGAAAAGCTCAAGCATGACTCTCTGGGCCTGTGTTCCTGGAACACCAAGCAGCACAAAGTAACTGCATCTGATCAGTTGCATGCAACCACCAGAAACTCCGACCAAGATTTTAGAAGACAGTGGTTAGCGGTGTGCTCGGTGCTGCCGGCCCACCTGGCCAGCCGGCCCTCTGACCGGCACCTCCGTGCCCCTGAAGCGATGCGGAACCCCCACTTCCCACTGCCGAGATCCCAGCGGGCGACCGGTCAGCGGGACACTCGTAACTACCGGGAAGCTCCAAACCCGACCAATGATTCATCAACCAGCGAAAGGTAAATAGAGTAATGTGCTCACTCCATGCCATTAGCGCACAAACTATTGACATGGGGCACACCAACTGCCTCAAGTGATATGGCAGTGAATCGATTGATGTTGACGTGAGCTTAACTTGCCCACGCGCAGTCCATGCGGATGAGCTCCATGCCAGTTGTCCTTATTTGCACGTGACATGGTAAAACCGAACCAGGAAGCACACGGCACTAAAATTATTACGCGCATAGTTAATGCGATAGCATATGGGCAGCCAATCCGGGTCCCAGATGGGGCCCAGGCATCAGCCCGCCTGCAGTCCCATGCAGGCATGTAGCCAGCTCGCCCACCTGCGGCCCGGGTGGATTTGAGTGTATGCCGCTCACCCCTGTTGCAACCCAGTTTGTACACGATCAGAAAATATCCATTCATGGAGAGCAAAGTATAAAAATTAATGCACTGGTGTAAAAGATGTTGCCATGTGGGCAGCCCATCTGGGTCCCACACGGGCCCAAAGACTAGTCTGCCTGCGGCTCATGTTAATATGATCCCAGCTTGTCCACACACATCCCATATAAACCCTAACTTGCGCCGCCCTCCTTTGTGATGTGCTCATCTCTACATGCTAAGGAAAAATTAAATGTGGGAGCACAAAGTAACAAGCCTAATACGCTCGTGCCAAATATGGCAGCGTACAGCCAGCCCATCTGGGTCCTATAAGGAGTCGAAATGCCAGCCCACCTGCAACCTACATAGACTGAGCCCTGCTGGCCCATGCTCTGCCCATACAGGACCCAACCAGCTGTCCCATGTTGTAAAACAATTGTACGCGATTTGGCAAAACCTGAAGACAATAAAAACAATTGATGCCACATTATTTTGTATGTGACAACGTTACTGTGCATATCACATACGGGAAGCCCATCTGGGCTCGACATGGGGCCCATAGATTAGCCCATCTGCAGCCCATGTTGGCATGAGCCCATCGTACGCACATACATCCCATATGAATCCCAAGCCGTTCTGCTCCCCTTTGCTATGCACTCATTTCTACATGATAAGGAAAGATGTAACGCGGGGCACAAGTAACGAGCCTAATACACCTGTGCCAAATAGGGTGGCGTACGGGCAGTCTATCTGGGCACCAGATGGAGCCCAGATACCAGCCAACCTGCAGCCTACATGGACATGGGCCGATCCAGCTCAGCTCATATGGACCTCCGTCCAGGCAGCAGTCCCATATTCAAGCATAAATGTGAAGGATTTATTAAAATCGAGACAAAAAAGCGATTGGTATCCGCATCAACGCTGTGTGCGTAACAACTTTATCACGCATGTAACATATGGGCAACCAATCTGGCCCTAGATTAGGCCTAGATACCAGTCCACTTGCATCCCATGTTGACATGAGCCCAGCCCAGCCCACATATGACCCATATGGGTCCCACCAAAGCAAATATTTCCTCGTCGTGAATTATCTCGTCTCGACGTGATAAATTCCGACAGGACAGCACGAACATTTCCGGTGGATACGAAAACATGAAATGGTGTGGGCACCCCATGCATGACCCAGCTGGACTGCAGTTAAAAGCCCACCTGTAGCCCATGCTCATATTAATCCAGTTGCCCCACGATAATTGGTCCTTGTGGGTCCCATTTAGGAATGCTGGCTGGGCTACTACGGCCTCTTGCCAGCCCTTCGGGCCCTTCGGGCCATGAAATCAGGGCCTCAATCGTTGGTCGCGATAGGTCCTCCAAACCCTTCAGGACTTGAGGGAAGCGTGCCACCTGTGCCCCCACGCTATCTCCGCCTCTAAACACACATTTTGCCAGTTATAAACATTCTTTCGGGAGCCATCCATGACAAAATAAAAAGCGGGCATAACTGCCTCCCCGCGCCCCTATGACTACCAGGAAGGCGATCGGTGCGTCCAGCGGAAAAATTAGATGTTGTTATACAGACTCGGTCACTGATTTATTGCGAGGCGGTAAATTTCAAGATGACACTCTTTCTCCCTCTCTCTCTCTCTCTCTCTCTCTCTCTCTACCCTCTCTCTCTCTCTCCTCTCTCTCTCTCTCTCTCTCCTCGTCCCTTCTCTCTGCCTCCGTTTCGAGATAGATTTCAAAAAGGATTCTCCTAATTTGGTAGCTCATATGAGGTCATTACTAGCGCGCTCGTTACAATGACTGGCAAAGAAGATCAAGTGCTTTAGTACGCTTGTCAGCATTTCGTTGTACGGCACTGGCGATGACAGCGGAATTTGAATGGTTTGGCTAGAACCTAGCCCATGTCATGCTTCTCAGCCTAAGTCACCGTTCAATTTTTATCGGGTGTCATTACTGGTGTAATACAGCTCGCAATTTCTGACCACAAAATATCTGCCCATTGCTTATTACTACCTTGGCTGTAGCCAAACAGGTATAGTTCAATGCCCTTTGCGTGTGTGAAAATCAAGTTCGGAATAAGTTAAGGTGTTAATGACATGATTGTTTGAAATTTAGCGGTTAGATATTTTTTCATCAGCATGTTTGCCAAGTTGTGGGTATTTCATCCTTGGAATGGTATTTAAAGTCAGTTGGTGCCTCAGGATGGGATGGGAAAAATTATAATGTACATTTAGTCCCATCCAGTTTCTCCCAATTGCTATATAGGATTGGAAAGTATTGGAATCTGATACTTGGATAAATGTTTAGGCACATAGAGTTCATAGTTTTTTCTAATGTGGAGGCTAGAGTGGAATGGGGGGGGGGGGAAGAGGAAGGCAAAACAAATATTTCCCATGCATTGAATAGTGTGCAATGGCCACATGAGTGAGCTTATTGATTGGTATGTCATGCCATCTGCACTGTGTATTCATTCACCATTTATCATGTTGCTATAATACTGCCTGCAGATCTGTCAAGTTAATAATTTTTATAGTCCAGTGCTCTACCAGTCTGCAAAACAGTGCTGAATTTGTTGACATCTCATCAGGGCAGGTTTAGGGCAAGAATTATTAGTTTGTGCAGGTTTCAAAAATCGTAGGGTAGGAACTCCTCATCTGGGGTCAGTAGCTGAAATTTGGTTTGGGCTTTTTGGGAGGAAGAATGCAATTTGTATGGCAATGCATTGCAGCACCATATTCCGCATTTCTAAATTTGCAGACCTTGGAGAATTGTGGCAGTTAAGTGACCTAATATAGCAGTACATAAATAAAGACAAGGATACTAGTTTTATGATAAGTTTAAGGTCTGCGCAGCTAAAACATGACATGATCAAAGCCAACATTGAGATTATTGCCCATGGAAATTTTAGCTGTGGTATTGCACCAGCAAAGAATCAGTGGAGAAGGTAAAGGCATGCAAAAGTGAAGGCAATGTAAAATACCTACTCTGTCTTACCCAGCATCTCAGAGCGCGTAGCACTGTTTACACATGCACGCACGCATGCACACATGCATGCACGCACACACACACTGCACATGCATGCACACATGCATGCACGCACGCGCGCACATGCACACGCACACACAAAACCATTTCAGCATCATTTTACATCTTGATATTCTAGAGACAGACATGGCACAGTCACGCATCTGTTTCACCGCAGACAGGCCTGATATTACCATACAATACAGTGGCCTGATCCAGGCCAGACAGGAGGCCGACTTTGTGTCACATGACCACACTGTGTATGGTCTGGTTACCTGACATGAGACCCTCGGTCTGGCAGGCTGGCGATGGTCCTGCCACTGTCTTGGCGTCAGCCCGGGGGCTGGCTGCAGCCCCTGCTCATCCTCTCGGCCATGGCCTGGCTCTATGCATGGCGTCTGCGTGACAAGTGCCGCCGCATCAAGGCGCTGGAGGGCAAGGTAGGGCCCTTGGTAGCTGGCTGAGTGTGCCAGAGGATCAGGAGCCACAACTGTCATGTGTCAGAGTGGGGGTGTGAAGAACAGTTTGTTAGGATAGTCACGATCCATGGGGCATTAAAGATAGCTACCATCCTCAGTGCATGTGTTTTTGGGCATACCCCAGTTCTTATACTATTCGAAACATGGTATTTTTACACGGGTCGTATGGCAATGCATGGCCATCTCCGTAATCATGCAAGGGGTTGAGGTGAACTCGTATGGCTAAAAAAGCCAACGTTTACATGTAGTGCCCCCGTTCCATTTTTGGCTAAATCGATGGCCTGGGGTTGGAAAATGGTCCAACAAAGTTTCGCTGATGCACCATTCAAAAGGCCTGGTCTGTGAAAGGGTGACCCGCTTGCGGCGCGGGTGCGAACGTGACGAGCGTGCGGCCCCCGGCGCGGTAGGTGGTGGTGCTGCGAACGTGACGAGTGTGCGGCCCCCGGCGCGGTAGGTGGTGGTGCTGCGAACGTGACGAGCGTGGCGGGCCCCCCGGCGGCTGGCAAGGTGGTGGTGCTGCGAACGTGACGAGCGTGCGGCCCCCGGCGCGGTAGGTGGTGGTGCTGCGAACGTGACGAGCGTGCGGCCCCCGGCGCGGTAGGTGGTGGTGCTGCGAACGTGACGAGCGTGCGGCCCCCGGCGCGGCAGGTGGTGGTGCTGACTGGCGCCAGCTCGGGACTGGGCGAGGCGCTGGCGCACCGACTGTACGCCGCCGGCTGCCGGCTCATCATCATGGCCAGGAGCGTCGACCAGCTGGACAGGGTGCGCCAAGACGTCATGCTCGCCCACCAGGTCAGCAACCGTGCCGCTCGCCGCACTCACACGTGTGCGACGCGCGGCGCTGGGATGACAGGGGCGGGGGAGGGGGAGGGGGTGCTTTGTGGGTGCTAGTGCTAAGTGCTTTGGTAAGGAAAGTGCCGCAAGAAGGTAAGTGCTTTGTAAGTGCCCTGTGGCAAAGAAGTGCTACTTGCATGATGTTAGAGCTCTTTTATTGCCCTCGTGCTGCGAGAGAACGTTTCGAGCTTTTGCGAGACCGTTGCATGAGGATGATACCCAAATCAAATGTTTCGTGCCGCTGCTGGGAGACGGCGCCAACGTCTGGTCTTTTAGGCAGCGTTTTCTGTACCAAGTTCGTAAGGTACGCGCCCCTACATGCTGGCGTTCGTCCCCTCGATAGCAGGCGTCTTTTGACGTCATACGCGTATGATGGTTTAGTTTTAGCAGGCCAACAGACGTCGCATGCGTATGACGTCATAGCATACGCCATCAGTGACGTAAGCAGATCAGGCCTGGATCAGGATCTGGACGCCTGTTCTGGGACCTGCCTCAGCGGGAGCTGGTGTACCCGCCGGTGGTGCTGCCGCTGGACCTGTCCGACTCGGACGGCGTGAAGGCGGCCGTCGGCAAGGCTCTGCGCGTGTTTGGCCGTGTGGATGTGCTCATCAACAACGCCGGCGTCAGCTATAGGTGAGCGACGCACCGGACGCTGTTTGGCGGTGACAGCGGTCAGACGAGCGTGCGGCGATACAGACAGATGCTACGGTAGTGGTCTTATTCGTTATGGAAATGTATTGGTCACACTTATGTGAACATGTTGTATTCATTTTTAAGAACTTCATGTGAGCAGCTGATGCGGCGATCTCCGGTCGTATTTCGTCAAGAGGCTTGCGCTAATCAGTAGGCCGTAATTTGATCAGCATCGCTGTGTTTCTCCGAGTAGCCGCGTTCCTTAGCTGGAACATGTCTAGACAGTGGTTGCCTCCGACGTGGCGGTACATTAGCGTAACTTCCCGGCGGGGGATCTTAGCTTTTGCACAGCTACGAATCTCATCCGGCTTATGGTGCATCGAGACCTGTGGTGCTGTCATTAGGGTCACATCGCAGGATGGTCTTCTTCATTTTACCAGACTGGTATTGGTCTCGCACATCAGGCGCAGCCCGTGCGAAGCGCTGCTGATTGGCCGTCCGTCTCTGACGTCACGCCGTAGCATTTGTCAGACGCTGGTGATTGGCCGTCTGTCTCTGACGTCACGCCTTATCACGTGTGCTGCGCTGGTGATTGGCTGACCGTCCTTTACGTCACGCGGCAGGGGAGAGGCGCTGCACACCGAGCTTGAGGTGGACGCTCGCCTGATGCAGGTCAACTACCTCGGCCAGCTGGCTGCCATCAAGACAGTGCTGCCCTCTATGGTGGAGCAGCGCAGCGGTCAGATCGTGTGCGTCAGTTCGGTCCAGGGACGCCTCGCGCTGCCCTACAGGTACAGAATGAGGCCCCTACAGGGGATTGCCATGCCCTACAGGTAAGGTGGCCCACAGCTGGTGGGTTAGCACTGCGCTAAGGCGTCAGAAGGCAGCCTCGCTTTGGTGCGTTTGGCGAGGGATACATGTGCTTGTGAACACATTGAGGTGTTGGATGGTCTGCATTCGGCCGAAACAAAGCGCAGGTAGTGTCCACTGTGGTAAGATGTTTGGTTGTTTATTATCTAGGCCGTAACATGCGTTACCTACGCACCAGCATTTTATTTTACCTGCAATGTTCAATGCACCGTCTGCAGGTCTGTACTCACATGACATTTTTGTCTGTAGACCCTATCAACCCCTGAAATTGACGAAGCCGCTGTCCGCTGCTGCTGTCCTCGCTTTAACAATGTACAGCAGCTGGGAGCCTGCCCCAGCCTGGTGGCGGCAGGGTGCTGAGTGTCTGGTACCTGATCTCCCCATCCTCCGCCCGGCGTCCCCTCCGGTCCGTCCCTGACGCTGCCTCCGTCCCTTACGCCGCCTCCGTCCCTGATGTCATCTCCGCCTCTTGCGCCCCGCCAGTGACCGCGTGTCCCTCCGCCAGGTCGGCGTACGCCGCCTCCAAGCACGCGCTGCAGGCGTTCTGCGACTGTCTGCGCGCCGAGGTGGCCGACCACAACGTGCACGTGACGGTGGTGTCGCCTGGTTACATCCGCACCAGCCTGTCACTCAACGCGCTGACCGGCAGCGGCGCTGCCCACGGCAGTGAGTCAGCGGGCTGGGCACACCGGGCACGGCCGGGGCCGTCCGCCGGCCACCCGCTGCTGGATGATACGCGGTTCTCTTGGCACTGGGAGGAGCGGGAGCAGAGATGTAGTCTCGGATCCAGGTGTGTGGCGGTGGGCTAGATGATTCCAACTTTGGCAGGAAAGTCGACTTAATTTGATGGGAAGCCTGTCTTTGAGGTATTTTTGAGGCAGGTTTAAAGGGAGTGTTCCAAATTTGTGTGGGGTTTTGAACTGAGAGTCATTTTGAAGGCCTTTCGGTGCTATTCACAATCCTGCCTTTCTTAAGACCCAAGGCATTCTAGTTTCTGAGCTACACGCCCGCGGAAGTGGGGAAAGGTATTAAGGTATATATAAAGGTAAGGTAAGGTATGTAAAGGTATATAAGGAAAGGAAAGGGAGGGTATTTTAAAGCCACCCTGGCGCTCACGACGTCACAATAACGTCATCCAGATCCTGTCATTCCATTAACCATGCGGCGACCAAGGCTAAACAAAATATGGTGGTCAAGGCTTTCATATCTGGCGTTCGTGGGCGCGATTTCCAGACGTAACGGCTGTCAATTGGCTCTCATTCTCTCATTCAGTGTTATGCAAATTACGATGACATTATCAGACCACGAGGCATTGGGGAGCATATTTACTAAACGGAGAATTGTTCTGTCTAGAGCAAAGCCAGCTTGTTTCATTATATGCGATGCTTGCTTCAGTATGACTGAAATGGCTGATCAGCTCTGCGCGCGCCAGTGTTCGGTGCACTCCTTGAAAGAGATCCCGTGGTGCTGACTGGACACGTGGCCGCCCACGCAGAGCTGGACGCCACGACGGCAGCCGGCCTGGAGCCGGACGCGGCCGCGCGCCGCCTGGTGGCAGCGCTGGTGGCGCGCCGGCATGAGACGCTGCTGGCGCCGCTGCGCGACCGGCTGGCCGTGCTGCTGCGCGCTCTGCTGCCGTCCGTCTTCTTCCTGCTAATGCGGCTGCGAGCCCGGGCCGGCACCGGCAGACCCAGCTGATGACTGACAGACGGACCGGGCTCACCTGGCCTGTGTCGCTCAGTCCAGCAGGCGGCTACCGCGGGTCAGAACAGTCAGCAAGCGTTTACCCACTTCAGGGCGGTCAGGAGGCGGTTACCCCGGGTCAGGGCGGTCAGCAGGCGTTACCCCGGGTCAGGGCGGTCAGAGGCGTTTACCCCGGGTCAGGGCGGTCAGCAGGCGTTTACCCCGGGTCAGGGCGGTCAGCAGGCGTTTACCCCGGGTCAGGGCGGTCAGGAGGCGTTTACCCCGGGTCAGGGCGGTCAGGAGGCGTTTACCCCGGGTCAGGGCGGTCAGGCGTTTACCCCGGGTCAGGGCGGTCAAGGAGGCGTTTACCCCGGGTCAGGGCGGTCAGGAGGCGTTTACCCCGGGTCAGGGCGGTCAGGAGGCGTTTACCCCGGGTCAGGGCGGTCAGGAGGCGTTTACCCCGGGTCAGGGCGGTCAGGAGGCGTTTACCTGGGTCAGGGCGGTCAGGAGGCGTTTACCCCGGGTCAGGGCGGTCAGGAGGCGTTTACCCCGGGTCAGGGCGGTCAGGAGGCGTTACCCCGGGTCAGGCGGGTCAGAGGCGGTTTCCCCGGGTCAGGGCGGTCAGCAGGCGTTTACCCCGGGTCAGGCCGGTCAGGAGGCGTTTACCCCCCGGGTCAGGGCGGTCAGCAGATTTACATCAGGTCCGGCTGCTGATGGGCCCAGGTCCAGCTTAATGCTGGATTTCTGGAGTCGGCAACCTTGGGGATGCAAAGTGGGATGCATACTGGTTCCATATTCTAGTCATGCGTGCGGAGGGTGATGTGCTATCGACTGTTGGGCAATGTGACGCTTCGGCCCCACAGCTCAAATGGATAAGGTGGAACTCAGTTAGTTCGAGTACCGGGATTCGTTTGCCCACTCAGGCGATGAACGTCCTTGGGTTGCCTGGTAAATTGCAACCAAGTAACCGCCGCGCATAGTCCCAATGAGCACCGAATGCCGGACTTCAGCAGGCCCGTCCCCCCATTAGCGGTCCCATGAGTACAGTCGCGTGCTGTTAATATTCGCTGGGAGTGTAATTGCCAGGGGCTCGCGCGTGGGATAGTCTCTATGAGCCTTCCTC